GCAAAGGCTAGTTCACTTCCTTTCTCAAACGAAGCTCTGCAATGCCATTCATGACCTGAATGCATTTGTCCCCTCCTCAAATACAAGTAAAGATGTATCACAAAAAGCTCTTTAGATCCATCAAAAGCAGAACTATTACAGAGGTTTTTATATTCCACAGCACAGAAATAGTCACTGTGATGGCAATTTAGTTTTGATGGGTGGAGAATACAAAAAGTCAAACAATTACACATGGCATATTTCTCGTAGGAGAACATTACAGGATTGAATTCTAAATGTTTTTAAGGATGATTAGATATTAGTGGTATTCTTTATAATGCAGTCCTTTTATGCAGGCAAACTAATCATCAGGTGGTTTAACTTCAGCTCCCTGATCTGAGGCTTTTCCCATGTTGCCTGTAACACCAGGTATTCTTACTACCAGCCTCTGGCAGGGAAGCAACAGACACAACTCATTTTCCCTCAGATTTTGCACCAGATTCATTTCTGAGCATAAACACTGCCCTCTCTCCCCCCCCCCAAAAAAAAACTATCATCTCAGTTTCTCTTTTTGTTCAAATCTGAAGTAGTCAGTACTAAGAACCACATGGCTTTCAACATGTTTGATTCCTAGAATGTAATCTAGATTTAGGACATACACCCTATATGAATGTTATTTCTTAAAACTGAAAATTGGATTTGGTGTTGCTATTCGGTTAAATGCCAGCACTTTAATCAACACTGGTACCACCAACAAAAATACATTACCCTGCCTGAATATAGTTAATTGCTTTAGAAGTATATATTATCCACGCAGAAGTATTATAAATTCACATTTTTATGCAATTCACACTGTTTTAAGCTATAGGTTCTGTTGGGTTTAATCCACAATCACAGAAATTACTCTGTACTTTACAAGAGCCAGAAATACGATGCAAAACCATCAAAGTCATGGAAGTCTTGCTGGGCAATGGTCTCTGGTACGTATCTTGAGCATGTCTCCTCCATCCCATCCCCTCAGCAGACACAGGCAGGAATCGCCATGTGGGAACTCTGCCTGTGGTGCTGAGATTGTTACTGGTCATGAAAGGGGGCTCATCCTCAAATCAGACTGGGAATACACTGGTGCTCCTCCTCAGCTATATAAGAAGGTAGCAGGTGGCAGAGAGGAGCCATTTCAAAGGTAATATATCTACAGGCAACCCTTCAACTACTTGTAATTGCTTAGAGGCTTCCTCTGGATTAAAAACTGATGCTCCAGTTTGCTGTGCCAAACTCACAAACAAGCCTGATGGCACTACTATATGTATCCAGAGCAAAGAAATTGATTCTTGAGCTGTTATTCCCACACCTTTCATATTTACAGAGTTCATGCTTTAAGGAGCACTCACAAAACCTGAGGGGAAATCGCTAAAGGCACAGGTTGACTTAGTTCAGCGTGGCAACCTCTCTCTGGAAAGAGGAGAACAAAACACACAACTCTGCAGCTAAGCAGACAGTGATTACACCGATGTGAGATACACAATTACTTACTGCCGAGGGGGGTAATTTTGCTTTGTGCTGCATGAGGAACATTACACATGTTAATAAAATGATTGGAATAGTCAATGTACCTCTTGATACACCTCTACGTATCTCATGACCTGCATTTCTTTTTACATTCTTCTCCCCCAGGAGTTCATTTCACAGCAGCTGTTTAAGCAACCAGAAAGGCAAAATCAGGCAAAGAATAAAATAAGGGGCTGCTTTTTGACCAAAGAGCTGCAGTAACAATACACTGTTAAAAAAAGAAAGATATGACAAAAAAGGTCAGAGCTAAAAGCCCAGATGCCACCATGATGCTTTCAGCTGCACAATAATTTTTGTCACATAATTCAAGGTGCCAAAAATGTGCTCCAGTATTTGGAGATGATGTACTGGAAAACTCTTACTTCAGTCAGACACAAAACACGGACAGACAAAATCCCAGGGCATTTTCATACATGGGCAGCAGTTGTGCTTTGGCCTACGCACACCTGAACCTGACTGGGAGCTGAAGTGGTTTTCTTTCTGATGCTGGTTTTAATGACATTCCGGCAGAATATTCTGGATTGACAGTGACACTGTAGATCCTACTGTGTAAGGGTTTGGGATATAGAAAAGAAATCATTTACATCCAGATTTGTTAGAGAGGTTGGTTTAAATGTTTGTTTCAAGTCCCATGAAACTGAATTTCAGAGAGTTAGAACAGAAAGCAAAACACAGCAAAGGTTCTTGACCCAGCCCCTTTCTCCCATTCCAGAACCTAAATCTAGAACCTTATTCATGGGTATACTTTAATGGGAAACCATGATAACTGCTACAAAAAAATGCCAATAAGTGAGTGAGCCTTGCCTCTGAGGCAGCTGCTAATCCCCATCAAGCTCTGTACCACACTGCTACTCTGTACAGGATGTCTGTGACTCACCAGCAGAATGCCATTTACCCGCTCATCAACAGAATTCTACAGTACAAGTCAAAACAGAGACTACAAATCTCTTGTTTACAAGCATATTTTGAAATGCATGTAAAATTTGTATTTCATAGGATTAATTAATAAATCAGTGCTACATTAAAACAGGATTAGTACACAATAGTACTTGCACATCACCTATTTCAAGTAGATGTTTTCAGAGCAGCCAGCAATATGGCTATTTCTGTCAAAGACTGCCCTGAAACACCTTCACACCATCTTTCACCATGAAAAATTCAACCCTGAGGGCAATGATTGGGCTCTACTACACACTAAAAGATAGACGAGATCACTGCAGACAGCTTTTACACAAATATTATAAGGTTCAAAATAAAACAACAAAAATAGAACCCAAAGTGCAGTGAGGGATAATTAGAAGCAAACACAAAATAAGGATTCTCAATACACCTGCTTCAGGACACAGAAAGTCTTTTTAGTAATAAATTGCCTATATACAGTGCTTTAGTTATTGAATATTTATACACAGAAGTGATCTACTATGTTGCTGAATACATTTTTATGCTACTACAAGAAAATGTAGTATGTACTACAAGAAAATGGAATCTCTTTTTATTTCCTATTGGAAGCACAATATTACCTAACACACTTTCACCTATCCCTGTTCTGCATTGCACATAGGGATGCATCACATGTGTCAGGATAAAAAGCTAATAACCCACAAATCATTAGCAGGCTCGGTACTGGATACAGAAATTGGATTTTAAGATCAGCCCGTCACCAATTCCAACCCCTACACAACCTAATATATTATAAGAGAGTGGGTACATTATTTTTTTTTAACCCTGTGCACTAATGCAGCCCACAACAAAGAGCAAGAGAATGAGTGTTTGATAGACCAGGAGTACAGGATTGTCAGAGATGGATAAGGTACCACAATGGGCAGTCTCATATTCAAAACAATAAGCCAGCTATTCATAACCCATGGGGAAAGAAAAGCCCAGAAACAGAAAACCACCAAAGAATTAATTCTCCCAAACAGTATTTCAGAAAACCACTGGTACTTGTGAACAAAAGATGCCAGACCCTTCATCCGTATTTCATTCTAGCACATTACTCAAAATGATTAATTTTCAGCAGCTACTCCAGCAGCAAATAAATCCAGGGGTACATCAGAGATAATATAACTGAACACCCATGGAAAATGTAGTTTTGCTTGCTAGGAACGGCATAGAAAAATGTCTCCAAGCTCGCTTCACCTGCAAGCTTGGGTAAACCCGGGCTCGCATTCACGGTGTCTAAGCGTTTACCAACACGGTGCATACATTAAGTTCTCATCACACACTGCTGGATGCACACACATCCTTCACACCCGCGCTTGTGACCATCTCCCTGCTGAGCTGGGAAGAAGGACCAACCAGAATACCCCAGGTGATAAAGCTATAAAGCTTCACTGCAAGAGATCTGACACCCATGAAGGGCTAAACCAACCGCAGCACGGAGCCCTTATTCCCACAGTGAGAACTGAACAGCTTCCCTCATCTTGCACACTCTTCCACGCACGGTGTGAATCGTCCTCATCCTCATGACACGTATAGACAGGCACTGAGAACGCAATGCCCAATTCCTTGTGCCTATCCCCCCAACCTCTTGCACGCACACAAAGCATCTCTCTCCTCCATGCACAAGCACGGGAACCCCTCTCCTCGCTGCTCCCACACGGAGCACAGTAAGGCTCCCAGGGCACACACGCACACTCAACCACAACACTCCCCAGTGTGCACACACGGCCGGGGTTCAGCGCGAGCCCCTCTCCCTGCGGAGCCCTGCCTTTGCACACACACGCTGCTGGGGTGCCCTACCCCTTGCACCCCATCTCCTCCGGAGCACCCCTGCCTCTGAACACACTCAAGGTCCCCTTGGCGCACAGCTCCCTCCCATCTCCCGTAAGCACACACAGCAGAAGCAACCCTCCCCAGTGCACAGAGAGAGGGAGCGATCCCCCACAGCACCCCACCGATCCCTGCATGCAGGGGAACCCCTTCATTGTCCTGTCCCATTCCCCCCCCCAAAACGCGGAGCCTCTCCACTACCCTCGTCGCCCTCACACAGCGAGGGCCCCATTCCTTCCCACTGCCAACACAGCAGCCCCCACCCCCACCCCCCGGCCCACATTGCCACCACACTGGGGGCTCCTTAGGGCTTCTCCCCACTGACACCACACCAGCGCTCCCAGTACACCTTCCCCACTGCCACCATGTGCCACCCCCTTACTCCCCCCCAACTGCAATCATAGCGGACCCTTCCCCTGCATCCTCCCCATGCCTCCCCCCCCAGTGCCACCACAGCAGACCGCTCCTAGGGTCCCCCAAAGTGCCACCACAGGACCCCCCTCCGCTGCACGCCCCCACTGCCAGGGCCCCGCACACCCCCAGGACACCCCCTTCCCAACTGCCACCACAGTGGAGACGCTCCCTCCATTCATCCCGCATCAACCTCGCAGCCGTCACCCCCACAACCTCCCCGCATCACCCTCGCAGCCGGGCCGCCCCTCACCGCCGCAGCCCCGCACCTGCTTGCGTGGTGTCGCTGAGGTCGTAGCCGCTGCCGGGGAAGTCGCGCAGCTTCCTCCCGCTAAGGCAGAGGATGCCCGAGCTGCCCGCTTCCTCCAGGGCCCGGTCCAGGCTGCGCACCGTGTGCGGCTGCGGCAGAGTGGCCGCTCCCCAGTGCGGCCCCGCCGAGAAGGACAGAGTGAGGTGCCCGGGGATCGCCAGCCCCCCCGCTCCATTGCCGTTGTTGTTGTTACCGCCGCCGTTGCCGCCGCCGCCGCCCCCCTGCCCGGCCGCCATCTTGGCGCGGCGCAGACCAGCCCCACAATAACAACAGCCAGGGCCGCCCCGCCGCCGCGCGGACACTGCGCATGCGCTACCGAGCCCGCAGGGGGCAGGCGGGGGGGGCTCGGGAGTGAGATGGACGGGCCACCGCCGGAGGGGGCGTGGCTTCTGCGCGCCCCTCGGCCGCGCTCACCAATCCACGGCGGCGAGAAGCGAAGGAGGCGTGGCCTCGCGGCTCCCCGCGGCTTCACTCACCAATCCACGGCGGGGGGGGGCGATGGGGTGTGGTTCCCCGGGGCGCTGCTGGCCAATGAGGGATCGCGAGAGGGCCGGGAGGGGGCAGCTCGTGGCGGGCGGGGCGCTGAGGGGAGCTGAGGGCGCTGAGGGGAGCGGGGGGGGGGAGCGGGTTCTCGCCGGCCGCGTCGGTACGGGAGCGGCCCGGGGCGTCCCCCGCCGGTTCGGGCAGGGCCCGCAGGGAGCCGGGCAGCGGGCCCGGGGCAGCTGGCACGGAAAAGAGCTGCTCGGGCGCCGCAGCGCCGGTGGAACGGCACAGCTGCCCGGCCGCGGGCAGCCTCGTCATGAGGCTATTGTCACCAGGGCGCGCCCGTCGGGTTTATTGTATCTATGGCAACGCCGGTCATCGATTGCTCCTCAGGTTCAAAAGGCATCACCCACCATCAGAGCATCACCTCTGGGCTGAAAGCTCCTGGAGAATGGTGCCTGTCGATCGCCGAAGGAACCCGCTAGTGGTGAATCTCCCACGGCAGGACAAAGGGGAGTCACCCTGAAAAGGGTTCAGAAACATTCACAGAGACAGTGATGCCCTTGACTCTGTGATAGGGGAGTGCAGAAACACAAATCAAGCCAATTGCAATGTCCAAAGCCCCGCTGTAGTGATAAAATACTGCGCAGTTGGTGTCATGCTGCATGCCGAATGATGATTACCGTGTAATCTGTACTTGTAGGTGCTGCATATTTATCTGTGCAAAATGACTCTGGAGCCATAATTAAGAAATGCTAAAGAAAGGCTCATAGACCCCCATTTTAATGCAATCACTGTGGGTTTCACAAGCAAAATCTGCTTTTATGCTTTGATCCTCTTGATGGCTCGGAAATGGATGATTTATTTTGCATCATGACTAATTGGGGGATCTAAGGGAAATTCCTTCTGTAAGCAGCATGGAAGAGACGAGCCTTCAGTCAGCACTGTGTCATTGAGAGACAGCTGAGCCGCTATGAGTCAAAAGAGGAACAGCCCGTGCCATTCCGCGGGTGATATCAGGCTGAAATTCAATAGAACCACATTAACCAGGATCAGTACGAAGATGCTCAAGAGTGAAGGGGTTAATCCTTTGATACAGGCTTCGGGATCACTGTCATTGCAGATAAATTGGCTTTCCCAATGTGCAAAACGTGTGTGTGGTGGGGGAAGGGTTCCCATTGTCACCTGCAAGTATTGTGGCTGGCTGTCTTCATTTAACCATTGCTGTCAATGCTCTTGTGGGCTGTGGATTGAAGCTTACAGATTAGTATCTACCAGTCAGTCTGCCTGGGCCTGGCAAAGCTCTTATCCTGGACAAGCTGATTGTTCCTTGGATTCATAGCAGGACAATTGTACAAACATGCACAAGCACTGCAGGCTGCTGCCCTCAGTTGAGTTTCCAGCCGGAGAAGGGGTTGAATAAACTCACAGGCTGACATTGGGCCAAGTGTGTATAGGGACTGTGTATGATATCCCCCAGGAGCACAAGAGGGATGTGGAGCTGTTGGAGTGAGGCCAGAGGAAACCACGGAGATGCTGCGAGGGCTGGAGCAGCTCTGCTCTGGAGCCAGGCTGAGAGAGCTGGGCTGGGTCAGCCTGGAGAAGAGAAGGCTCCTGAAGGGGAGACCTGAGAGCAGCTCCAGTGCCTGAAGGGGCTGCAGGAAACCTGGAGAGGGGCTTGGGACAAGGGATGGAGGGACAGGCCAAGGGGAATGGCTTTAACCTGCCCGAGGGGAGACTGAGATGACCTCTTAGGCAGAAGCTCTTTCCTGTGAGAGTGCTGAGGCGCTGGCACAGGGTGCCCAGAGAAGCTGTGGCTGCCCCATCCCTGGCAGTGTTCAAGGGCAGGTTGGACACAGGGGCTTGGAGCAAGCTGCTCTAGTGGAAGGTGTCCCTGCCCGTGGCAGGGAGGTGGAATTGGATGAGCTTTAAGGTCTCTTGAACACAAACCAGTCTGGCGTTCTATGATTCTATGAAATGTCAGTCTAAAATTGGTTATGAGGGTGGGGAAAGCACGAGTGAGGTCCCTTATCTCTCCTGTATCTACATAATTCTCCAGAGTCTACTGCAGGCTGTGTCCCAGTTCAGGTCAGTGTGTGTGACAAGAGCATCAGAGCACAGACACACAGCCGAGGTGCTGCCTGGGCTCTCCTGCTGTGCAATGCTCCAGCAGCACCTTCTCCTGACCTGCAGGCCTCTGCCAGGCAATACAAGCTCTGGGCACCCAAGGCCAAACAAGAGGGGTGCCCAAAATGTACACCACTGAACCTTCCAATGTTCCTGGGTTAAACACTTGAGCTGCAGACAAAGCAGATCCCTTGGTTGCTGTTTGCTGTGAGAAATGAAATCCTCCTGAGATTTCACTGATCTTTTTTTTGCATCCTTTAGAGTCTTTCTTGCTTTAAGCAATTAAAGCAGAGCTTTCATAATGTTCTTACTATGCTGCTCTATGAGTAGCCTCAGTGCTCCTACATGTGTGAGGTACTGAGATAACACCCTCACTGTTGTTTCAGCACTCATATGGTCCTTGTGCCATCTCCTTGATTGCTCTTCAATGCCTTCTCACTTTGCAGATCAGTGCATGCTCTATTCCTACTGGCTACTGCTTTGCTTTTTCAAGACCTGCGAGTGTCCACAGCTTCCAACAGGGAGGGAAAATAATCTCCAAATAACTGGATTCAAGTTTCCTGTTAAAATGGCATCATCCAGCCCACTGTGAAAGCAAAGCAAGCAAACCATATATTCTTGTTAGATTAAAAGGCAAATGCCACACTGCCCATGCTGCAGGGTAGTGATTTATCTGAAATACCAGTTTCAAAGAGCTGGAAATAGCTCAAAATACTCCAGCATCTGATACTTGAATGGAAAAGCAGCAAGCAGGATTCTGTCTAGCTGCTTTGGTGAGCATTATCTGTTCTTAAAAGTCTTTTTGTACAGACCACAACAAGACAGTAGATCCATTAATGAGAAGATTCCTGGTAGCTTTTCCATTGGGAGCATCTGGCTAATTGTACAGGTAGCAAAGGTTCATGGAGCACCAGAATATACACTTCTGAAGGCAGGGGGGAGGGCAGTCTCAGCCCTCCAAGATATAATTTCAAGTACCACTTATTCCAATTACAGGCACTGGAAATACCTCCTTGTGGTGCTGCAGAGGCCTTTATCCTTAGCTGATCTTTCTAGTGTGATTTCTAACAGGATTTGTCCTTTTATTCTATTTTGAGTAACTCCTTTGCCATACAGTAGCATAACAGACTTGCTTGTTTCTTGGTACAATTAGAAATGTGGCCCTTTCAGTGAAGGTTTACTTTAGTATTGAGAGACCCCAAGAAGCAACAGGAACAAAAATTACTCCTACACTGCAGTCAGCAGCCCAGCAGCACAGGGGGATGTGTACCCCAGTTTACTGGGCTGGTTAAGTTCCCTTCCACCCTAAACCCTTCTGTGATTCTGAGGTGAGACTGGTTACAGCTTGCACTGGAGCTGCCGACTCCCTGGTCACCCTGCACGTGTTATGTGTGGAGTTCAAGCCTGCGCCATCTCTATCATCCTTCATTGAGTATGCCATGCATTTCAAAGGCCACATCTCTGATATACAACAGACAGCCAAGGATCAGAAGTAACTGTTGTTACTTTTCCCCAGATAATTGCACATCAATTATATTGTGCTTCAATACAAATGCTAAATCATCCTGCAGACCTCCAGATCTAGACATGTGTCTTATGCAATGACTTTAAGGATGTTCCGTATAGTGCAGAGGTAGAGCTAATATGGACTGTAAGAGCAGTTTTGCATATACCAGGCTGAGATCTCCATTTTAATATCCATACAGAGAGGGAAAACACCCACAAGCCCTCTCTAAATACCTTGCAGTCTTACCACATATGAGCTGCATCTGCTACATGGCCAAGAAGCAAATCACGGAATTTGTCACTAACTTAACAAGAAGTGGCTCACCTCTCAGTGTACGGTTGTTTTCACTGAGCAGAACTCATGGTACATGTACCTCAGCCACTTCATTGCAATGCAGTGCAGTGCAGCATCCAGGCAGAACTTCTGCATAAGAACCACAGTGTTATCACAATGTAGCTCATCTTCTGGGAATGTGTCATGTAGGGAAATACTGGCATAATCGGGAGTTTTCTCAATCAGCCTGAAGAACACTTCTGTTCTCCTCCATCTTCTCACGGAGATTTTCAAGTAGCAACATATGGTTAAAAGGCCATGTTCAGCATCTAACAATAAAACATAAGCTCCTTGGTGGTGGTGCACCAGGTTTGGAGGAAGCTGACCAAGCTGTGCTGCTACCAGTGTTCCTCCTCATTAGGAGCTGGGAATGATGCGGAGATCTCAGCAATTAAAAGGCCTAAAGACCCCCCCTTGTGGGCAAAGCACAAAACATCACACAAGTGACGGGAGTTTTGGCCCGTTGAAATAACATCTGTTAACAGCAGATGTTAACACACAGTGCTTCAGAAACAGCAGCAAAGTGAAAACCCGGACCTAAGGCACTGCCTCGGGATAACGCCCGGGAAAACCGCCGGCATTCACAACATCCCCGCAGCGGGCTCGGAGAGCCCGGCGCATCCCGCTTCCCTGCCGCCGCTATTCCCGGCAGCGGTCTGAGCTGGGATAAACCATCCTCCATCGCCGGGCTGCTCTCATGGCTCCCGCACGGCGGGGCTGACCGGGGCTGCGGGAGGCGGCTGGACAGCTCCGGCGGCGGCACTGCACCGCGCGGAGCGAGAGCGCCTGTGCTCGGCTCAGCCCGGCTCGGTGAGCACAGAACTCGTATTAGGCTGCCCGATACCGATACCCACCTCAGTGTTCCGAGATGGACGAAGGAAAACTGAAACTATGGTACTGAAAGCCCCGGGTGTCAAATCCGACTCTTTGCTGGGGGGAAGTTTGCTTTAAAAAGTGAAGAACAACCATGTGACCGATAAATGGTGTTTTCAGTTTGCTTTCACACTTGCCCATGGAAACCCTTCAGGACCTCATACTTAAATACCTTCAGATCAGGTACAATGCAGCCAGTAGTATTAAAGTTTAACAGTCAGAGCCCTAACCTCGCTGTAGATAACGGGGCTCCGCCACTACTTCAGTTGGCATTTCATACTGGCATTTCCAAATTTAGTTACATGTAACATCCAAGATTTCCAGTACCTTAGGTGGGCTCTAAACAGTAACTTTTCCTACTACAGTGACATAGTTTTTCATGTATCAGTACTCCTGGTGTATGGTTTGATGTCTCTTGGTTTTTCTTCCTCTAAGTCTCGTGCCTCTGTTTAATAGGATGCTCATGAGCTATCTCATGTCCTTACCTCTTCACTAGAAGAATGGGATCGTCAGCCCCGTGTGACGCATTTGCTCGATGTGCACTCGCTGGAGGCGATGCCTGCTATCAGGAGTCTCATAGGCTGCCTCCATTCCTAAGTGTATTGAAGATAGTGTCTGTTTAGAAATGGAAGATGTTTCATTATTGTTACAAAGCTGTTCTCTAGTGCTCTGGTATAAATGAATCAATAGGGCAGGCAATCTAAAGCATGAAAAATGGTTTTCATAAGCAAATTTACAGTGATCCCAGTTTCACAAGGACTTTTGCATTCCTAAATCCATTGACTATAGGGACTGAAACATTGCCATGGAACAGCAGTCCATCTAAGCCGTTGCTCTGATCTGTAAAAGTTGACCCATGAAAGAGGTTTGAAAACTGCAATATGGACACCTATGGAATAGTCCCTTTGGAGGTGAAATTTATCTCAGCCTCCAAGTTAGTGCTCAACTTCGTGCAGACAAGAAGTTTCTATCACTTTTTGTCTAAAATAGATACATCATGGTTATAAAATCTGTTACACTTTGATTTTAGCATTCTAAGACAGAGAATCCTGCAGATTAACTATTCATTTTATTAGAAATGTGCTTTCTGTTAGCTATAAATCTGCTGTGTACCTGTGTTTTTTTGGCCTTCATCAAACATAAAGAGACACTAAACCCACACAATTGTTTTAATGGCAGAAAAGTGTAGTAGAGATGAAACAAGAACCTCTTTAATACTCAGTGCTTTCTAAGGTAGGGTTAATGAAATCTTTTATCTTCCTCTATAGCAGCCAGAAATAACCCTCTTTGTACATGAATAGCAATTATTTGTGCATCTGCTGCAGTTTTGCCAAACAGCTCTTTCTGTAAAGCAGAACTTCATAACACGATTAAAAATATTCCGGGCCATATCAACTCACAGGAACTAAAATACCTGGAGGAAAAAGGAAAAATGGATGCAGGAATTCCCGCTTTCCTTGACTGGAATAAAAGCACAACCGCAATCTGATGAAGGCCCCCTCCAGAGTCCTTGCAGCCCCCTTCAGACACTGGAAGCTGCCCTGAGGTGTCCTCGCAGCTCCTCTCCCCCCGGCTGAACAGCCCCAGCACGTCCCTCCGGATGGCAGCGATCGCCGGGTGCAGGGGGGCGCAGACCCGGGGCAGGGAGCGCCGCGGGGCAGAGCAGGGCCCGGTGTGTCCGGGGCGGGGGCCGGCGGCGGGGCCGGGCCGGGCCGCACATTCCGGGCAGGCGCACTGCGCGGCGGCGGCGCCCGGTCGGAGCCATGGAGGCGGAGGGGCCGCAGCCGGGGCCGGTGGCGGCGGGGCCGGAGCCGGGGGCCGAGGAGATCGACATGTCCCTGGGTAGGTGCGGCCTGGGCCCGGCCTCGGGGGGGCTCTTTGTGCGGGGTCGGGGCTGGCAGCGCAGCGTGGGGCGGCCCCGCAGGGCTGGGTCTGTGCCCCCCCCCGGCCGCCCGCACCCGGCTGCGGTGGAAGCGGATCCCGGGGGGAAGAAAGGGCTCCAAAGCGGCCCGTGTGCTCAGCGGGCAGCACCCGGCTCCGGCGGGGAGAGCCCCAAGAGAACGATCGCGGTACTGAAATGGAGCTGGAGCCGTGTGGGACGCGGGGTATTTATAGCAGCCGCTGGTGCTGCCGCTCCGCTGGCACCGAGAGCCGCACAAGGAGCACCCGCGGCGCCGCCGGTCCCGGGGGTTATCGCTGTGACATCGCCGTGTGGAAGGAAAGGCGGCGGATCCCAGACGGGTTTGGGTTGGAGGGACCGTAAAGAGCACCCAGTTCCAACCCCTGCCATGGGCAACTCATCCCTGGGTCAGCTCCCTACCCGGGAGCTCGTGTCGCGTCCTCCCAGCAATGAGCCACTTGTCAGGAATAGCGCAACATTTTCCACTGTGAACTCAAGCTGATCCCTTGGCTGATGCACCCGTGGTTTAATGCTGCTGCGAGGCTTTACAGCAATAGCAGCGCCCTCAGTTGTCATTTACCTTTTTCTGTTTGCTGATGTGTGATACCCACAGAACCCCAGCCTGGTTTGTGTTGGAAGAGACCTTAAAGGTCATCCATCTCCAACCCCTGACACGGGCAGGGACACCTTCCACTGGAGCAGCTTGCTCCAAGCCCCTGTGTCCAACCTGGCCTTGAACACTGCCAGGGATGGGGCAGCCACAGCTTCTCTGGGCACCCTGTGCCAGCGCCTCAGCACCCTCCCAGGGAAGAGCTTCTGCCTAAGAGCTCATCTCAATCTCTCCTCCGGCAGGTTTTAATGGGTTCTTGATTGGTTTTACAGGTTGTTGGTCAGTTTTAATGGGTTGTGGTAGGTGTTCCAGGTTGCTGGTACGTTTCACAGGTTTCCCCTTTGCTGTTTTGATCTAGATGACATCATAAAACGCCACCGAAAAGAGCAGACAGACGCCAGCGCCGGGGGGGACGGGCGAAGGCCGCAGGTCAAGCCCAGGAACTCGGTGTACGGGTACGGGCGGCCCCGCTTCCGTGCCTGGATGCAGAGGAATTTGCAAGGTAGGTGAGGCCTGCCGAGCTGGAAACACCTTTGTGTGACCAAATACAGTTCCTAAAGCCTTCTCCTATCTAATCCCTGTGTGCCTGTGAGATGCACTCGGGCTCTGAATAGCTTTTGTCTCCACACAATGGAATATCAGGGCCTTTTCAGAGCATAAAGTCATCCATTTCTCTCCCTTCCACCCTCTCATGAATTACTAATTCAAAGTGACTTAATATCTATTCTCTATTCCCTTTAGCTTTGCATATTTTAATTATTCCTCTTCCTAATCCTCTTTTTCCCAGAACACACTTAAATTACCCCTTCAGTAACTGTCTCTGATAGCTCAGTTATTGGAGCTAATTTGTCACTTTTGCCAGCCATGCTATTTTTATGATGATACCAAGTGATCACACGCTAATCTCTGGTTCCACAAGCTTTCACCTACAAACCCACCGTTACCTGCTGCATGAAATACCACCTCTAGCACCATTTTGCTTTATTTTTTCCCCTTTAAATGACTTCAGTGCAGATTTTGGTGGCATTTTGCAGTAGTGTCTTCGCAGGCTTCCTCTGGAGTGCCAGTGGCACATGAGGACAGTGGGATTGCTGGGAACGATCCTGCTTGGCTCCGATCTGCCTCCACTCCCATGTTCTCGGTCTCCAGCACAGAATCGTTCCGGCTCAGAACAGAATGATGACTGTTGCCCTTTGCAAATTTATTTTCTCTGTCAAAGCACAGGCTTTGATATTCTTCCACACTCAAGTGACTACTCAGGGTCAAATAAAGTGAACAAAATACCTTGTTTGAGCTGTTCCTCAGAACAGAGAACTTTCCTCTTCATTTCTAGATTTATTTCTGCTACTCCTAGTGTTTCCTAGGCTTGAACTGAGTCTGCATTCAGCCCTGCCAAGTGCAGACACTCACCATGCTTTGTGGTGCTGATGCCCGGAGCAGTTCTGTGAAGCTCAGCACAACTGGGAATTTAGCCTGTAATTACTCAGGGGCTCATTTCACTTTGGTCCCTGCTGAAACGCAGACCCTTCAGGGCTGAGGCATGATAACTGTTATCAAAATGACAATCAGATCAGCCCAGTGCTGTAATGACAGAAGACAGAGACGGGTATTATGCTGATTAAACCAGTAAGAGCATTTGTGCCAGTGAAGTGCGTTATCCCTCCAGGAACAGGGCTTAAACAATCTCCCCAGTGGGGAAAGAGGATTTTTAATGGCAAGAAATTTGAATTTCAGATCTTCTTGGAAAAACAGTCTTTCAGACATGAGGGCTTCTTCCCAGACTGGACTTGCTGGGCAGAGGAGCTTCTTGGCTGACTGAGGTGTGCTCAGCACATGTGGCTTCCCCACATGCTGCTGCTGTGGGGTTTTATCATAGAACCCCAGACTGGTTTGTGTTGGAAGGGACCTTAAAGCTCACCCAGCTCCAACCCCTGCCACGGGCAGGGACACCTTCCACTGGAGCAGCTTGCTCCAAGCCCCTGTGTCCAACCTGCCCTTGAACACTGCCAGGGATGGGGCAGCCACAGCTTCTCTGGGCACCCTGTGCCAGTGCTTCAGCAGCCTCCCAGGGAAGAGCTTCTGCCTAAGAGCTCATCTCAGTCTCCCCTCGGGCAGGTTAAAGCCATTCCCCTTGGCCTGTCCCTACAGGCCCTTGCCCAAAGGTCCTCTCCAGGTTTCTTGGGGGAACAGACCCAGAAGAGAAAAAAAGGCCATTCAACCCAGCAAGATCACTTCTGGTCAAAAAGACACAGATTGTCAAAATTCAGGTGTTTGTCAGGAGAACATTTACACACCTGCACTTCTGCAGGGAGAAATACCATCATTTGCAAAGAAGATAGCCACTGGCCCCCCAGAGCTAGTGAACAGCATTGCATTTCTGTGCATTTCAGGGTGCTGGCTGGGAGCATCCTGATGTGCTGCTCAGAAGCTCCTTCCCATGGACATGCCCTGATGCCTTTTTGTTTTGGAGCCAGGGCAACTCAAGTCACCTCCCTTGGCCTCCAGTGTAACCAGCCCAATCTGGCGCCAACCAGTGACACACCCTGGGGCTGGAGCCTTCATTAATCACTGTGGTGGTGGCCCTTGACAGCAGCATCACTGCTGCCTCAGGGCACTTCATTTCTGACTGCTCCGAGTCATTATGAATTGCTGTCATGCAGGAATTGATGGTGTAGGATCAATACATGCATCCCACTGCTCTGGAGTGTGTATCAGTGAGGTCCAGGGTTACTGCCTTGCAGCCCTCTGCCATGCCTGATCATAGAATCATAGACTCACAGACTGGTTTATGTTGGAAGGGACCTTAAAGCTCCTCCAGCTCCAACCCCTGCCATAGGCAGGGCCACCTTTCACTAGAGCAGCTTGCTCCAAGCGCCGTCCAACCTGGCCTAAGTGATCAGTACACCTGTCTGAGTATGTATGCATGTTTCACTAGTGTCTATAGCCACCTGGAAAAGGTCTACGTTATGACTATAGAAGTTTATTGTGTGGAGTAATTAGGCTTTAGTGCACTGCGCCTCTGGCTGACTGGGTGCCTTCTCCTTGCTTGATGCTTCAGCACACTTCATAAACAGGCTTAGGGGAAGACACTGAAGGCAAGATAGGCTGTTAGTGTGTGTGTGCTGTGCAGTGAGGTAAAACAGCAGCAGAAGAGGCACCCTTCAATGTATACAGTACGTCAGGATATGTCATGCTGAAAATAACTAAAGAAATAGATATATATTAATATATAAAAATGATGGTCTGGTCTTCGCTTACCAAGTTCTATAATGTGGGCAGTTAGAGCTCTCCCAGGCTGCTGTGGGACTGAATGCTCGCGTCACTTGTGTATCTGTATCCAAAGGCTTTTTCCATTTCACGGTGAATTCCCAGCAATGGGAGCTCTGACAAGAGAGTGACAGGTTTCCTGATGCAAGTGTTCCTGCCTTTATTAGGAGGCAGAGTTGCGGAAGGCTTTTCTCTTTTATATTCTTTCAAATTAAATCCCAGAGCCATCAAATCACAGAGTGGTTTGTAAGCGGTTGTGCGTCCCACACAGAATGGGAATTATTATTGGAAAGATAAATTATTTAAGATTCTGCAAAGTTACTTTACTTTTCTGGACTAACTCAATGTGATTCTTGCATCTATTCCTGCAGACACTCCTGTATCATATTAAATTCACCGTGTAAGCCACTGGCAAAACCGTAAATGTGAACTGAGCTTTGAAGGATGCTAAACAAAGAGTTTGCTTTTGTAGGACCTGCCCGGTTTAGAAGAGGGTTTGGACAACAACAGTTCAACCGGAGACAATTCAGGAATGCTGTGCCTGGTCCCAGGAGAAGAGCAGCTGCTGCATTGAATGGAGTGAGCCCTTTAAATCGCCAGGCATCGGCTCCAGAGGTACGGGGGTGAGGAAGGCAGAGCTGTTCCCAAATGTCATGCGGAAACCTGCTGGGGTTGTGATCCTGGATCTCCCCAAAGAACAATCTGCATAACAAATGTCCAGGCCCCGTCTCGTGTGTGCCTGTAACTGCATTTGTATGCAGAGGTGAGTGCAGGCACATGCATATAAAATAGCAATTTTCCAGTTGGTTTTATGAGCTTATGACTTGGCATAATTGGAGTGAATAATTTCCTGAGGGGGTTACAAAGACAAATTTTTTAGGAATGTTTTCTTAAAGAGTTTCAAATATTTCCATAAAACCAAATTCCAATTCATCACATCTTACTATAGCCATTCAGAGGAGGTGTGTTAGGAGTCACCGTTACTTGTCCTCCACCCAGAGCACCTTCCAACATGTAGTGAAGGCAAAGGCCAGGCTGTTGGTGACTTCAGGTAGCTTTGGTTCAGAGAGGTACTTTTCACTAGCAAGTGGGTATCCCCCATAGACACACTGATTCCCAGGGCTATGAAGCCATGGGACAGATTGCCGATATTCTTTCATGCAAAACGCTTGGTTTTTCATTCATGGCTTTCCCTTTTACAAGTTTAAGTGTTTTGGTCTTATCTCTGCTCAAAAACACTTAAAAAGAAAAGATTGAAATATTTTCATTTCTTTTTTTGAGCTATTTTTAACACTCAAGATGGACCATGTTCACCCTTAAAGTCATTCTCACAGCTCTCTGCTGAGTGTCACTACCATGAAACTGGCTTGGTGCAGAGGGTGGAAATCAAGTGAATAGATAGTCCTGTGTGAGAGGGGGTTGTTCCTTCTGCACTGATGGAGATCCACTCAATTAGGAGGTCATGTATTCTCAGTAAGCTTTTACAACCCCACCAAAGTGGTGAACACAATGGGACACTGAATGGCTGTGTCCCGGGGGTATAAAGAAGAGAGCCTTAATTGAGCATGCATGTGCATGGTGTGTGGTTATTCCTGAAAGGAAAGTGGGATGACTAAGATAGTGCTCAGGGCTGGGTGTTACCAGGAGGGATAAGCAGTTGCTAGGAGGCATAACTCTGCTCTAGCTTCCATTTTGCAGAAATAAACCAAGTGGGAAGAATCTGGAAACACATTCCCAGTTAGTGGGGAGGAACGCTGGTGGTGGTTGTCCCACAGAAATAGATGAGTTAGAGCCCATGGCAGTTGGTATTAAGTAGCTGCAGGAGGACCTACACTGATGAGGGGTCTTCTGATGTGCTTCATGCTTCAGGGCTTGGAATGGGCAACGAATGTGTCCAAACAAGAAAGAGTCAATGACCGAAAAGAAACTAGAGCAAAGCTACAAAGCTTTGCTTGGGTGAGGTTTGCTCTCCATGGACTCATTCTGGTTTTGGATTTCTGTACCATTAGAATGAAATGCTCTTCCTGGTACTTGTAGCTTGATGCCCATGAACCGAGTGTTGACAGCAGTGGATACTGCCTCCAAATGTTGAGGCTCCAGCAACACTGCTCAGTAGAAATATTCCTGGCGTAGATACAAAAGGCCATGTAAGAGGCCAGTTTTTTAATAGAGTTCCTGAGGAATCGGGTCCCAGCAAGAAAATATCAAAGGAGGAAAATAAAAAGCACCAGAAGCGCAGGGTTGTTCTGCTGCGAGACTGAAGTTGCAAAGGAAAAACAGTTGGGAATGAGAATACATGGAATGCTGAGCACACAGCATGGGGATGAGCCCCCTCCGAAGCAAATGCAAGTGGTACTGAGAGCATGGAGGGAACCATGGCTGAGTCAGTGATCAGCACTGGCACTGCAGGGCAGGATGGGGTGATTCCCCCCAGACAGAGCCAGAGAAAATGCTGGATCAATGGAGGAATGGAGGGAAGGATGGTCATGTCCTGGTGCTTGTGCTGCCTCCATGAGTGACATTCAGCTGTTGGAGTGAGTCCAGAGGAGGTCACAGAGATGCTGCAAGGGCTGGAGCAGCTCTGCTCTGGAGCCGGGCTGAGAGAGCTGGGTTGGGGCAGCCTGGAGAAGAGAAGGCTCCTGAAGGGGAGACCTGAGAGCAGCTCCAGTGCCTAAAGGGGCTGCAGGAAAGCTGGAGAGGGGCTTGGGACAAGGGCCTGTAGGGACAGGGCAAGGGGAATGGCTTTAACCTGCCCAAGGGGAGACTGAGCTGAGCTCTTAGGCAGAAGCTCTTCCCTGGGAGGGTGCTGAGGCGCTGGCACAGGGTGCCCAGAGAAGCTGTGGCTGCCCCATCCCTGGCAGTGTTCAAGGCCAGGTTGGACACAGGGGCTTGGAGCAAGCTGCTCTAGTAGAAGGTGTCCCTGCCCGTGGCAGGGGCTGGAGCTGGAGGAGCTTTAAGGTCCCTTCCAACACAAACCATTCCATGCCTGCATGGTTGCTGTTTCATGCACTGAGGCTGTGGGGCAGGTGGCAGTGGCTGAGCTCTCACTGCTCTTTCAGGGCAACACGAACAATGACGCTTTCTCCAAGAGCAGCAGCAGCAGCGTCGTGCAGGCAGAGGGACGGCGACGGCCACCGCCAGGCCCCAGGAGGTTCAGAGCAGCCGCTGCCAGCGCCCAGGCCGCAGGGAGAAGGTAAAATCTTCAGTAACTTGTGGATTTTTTGGCTTCCAGAGGTGCCCTGGGCAGCCCCGGGCCTCTCCTCGGAGTGACTGCAGCCACGTGCTCATGCAACGGGGAAAATGCCCCTGGCAGTGCTCAAGGCCAGGTTGGACACAGGGGCTTGGAGCAAGCTGCTCGAGTGGAAGGTGTCCCTGCCCATGGCAAGGGCTTGGAACTGGATGAGCTTTAAGGTCCCTTCAGCACAAACTGGTCTGGGGGTTCTGTGATTTTTTGATCTGTTTTTAAGAAGCAGAGCTCAGCACCAACACAAAATGTTGTTCCATTTGAGCAGAAAAACAAGTTCCTCTGAACAGCTTTGCTGCCAGAAAACCTGCTGGGCTGAACTTGGTAACAAAGACCTGCATTTACTTCCCCTACTGCTTTTTAATCCCAAGCTGGGTTAGGCATTGCAGCACTTAACTTCAGGAGAGACCTGGCATCATGCTCACCTATGTCCTTTTCTCTCTCCTTCTTCCCCCAGACCTTTCCGGCTGAACAGGGCACCAGCCTTCCAGCAGAAGCGGATGCAGCAGCAGTTTCTCAAAGCCAGATTTCAGAGAGGGGTCAGTATCGTGACGTTTTCTGTTCTCTTCTGATGGTGACAACGCTTCAGTTTTACCTGTTGTATCTTTGATCCCAAAAGTTCCTGGGACAGGTGCAAGACTTTAACGATGAGTGTGTTGCTAGGGAAGTATTTGCAGGATAGGCAGATTTTCATGCAGTGGGTCCAGAGAAGGGCAATGGAGCTGGTGCAGGGCCTGAAGCCCAAGTGTGATGGGGATCGGCTGAGGGACCTGGGGGTTCAGTCTGGAGAAGAGGAGGCTCAGGGGGGACCTGATGGCTCCCTACAACTGCCTGACAGGGGGATGGAGCCAGGAGGGGCTGGGCTCTGCTCCCAAGGAACAAGGGATGGGACAAGAGGAAACGGCCTTAGTCACTGAGAGCTAATCCTTAAGTAATTATTTCAAATGTATTTCCCAGCAGATGGATGCTGATGGCAACAGGAAACCACCACGGATGAGAAGGTAACTGGTGACCCAAGCACGCTGCAAACACGCCGTGCTCTTGCAGGCTCGGCTCGAAGCTGGATCCATGTCCCTGTCTCGGCAGGTGGCAAGTGAAACCCAGCCCTGGAGCGGTTCTGACGGTGTCTGTGGCCAATCCTCAGGCAGGCCAGGCTGGCCCGTGAGTAAATGGAGGGCTTTGTTCACGTGAGGACCCTGCAAAAGCATTCCCAGTCCCTTTAGAACTATGGCAGCTTGGCTTCTATGATCCCAAAGTGGTTAGCAAATGATGCCTTGTTCCCTTCTCAGTGTACCTGCCAGAGGATGGTGATTCCCATGTGGCTGGTTTGTTACCCAGAGTAGGGAGGGGGATTGCAGGCTGGCCGTGCCCAAGATGGGGTGTCCCCTGCACCCCGGGGACATGGTGTGCTCGCTGTGCTGCAGGGCAGCAGCTTCACCCCTGGGCTGAGCCGGGCCCTAGCACTATGATGAGCACAGAGGGGGGTGGGTGAGGGCACTTGGCATGTCCTGGGTGTAGGAAGCACCCTGTGATAGGCTTGTCTTGACACAGTCCCCAGGGCTGGCATGACAGCTCTCCTGACACCCTTTATGGAATCACAGAATGGTTTGGGTTGGAAGGGGCCTTCAAAGCTCATCCAGTTGCAATCCCCCACAAAGAGCAGGGACATCTCCAACTAGTCCAGGTTGCTCAGAACCACATCCAGCCTGGCCTGCAATGTCTCCAGGGATGGGACAGCCACCACCACTCTAGACAGCCTGTGCCAGTGTTTTGCCACCCTCATAGTACACAGTGTCTCCCTCACCCACCCTACCATGAGACGTGCCATGGGCCATAGGGGCACCCGGGTGTCTCCTCCTTCCCTTGCTGGTCTCAGGCATTAGGCAGCGGCTGCCTTCACATCCAGGGTGACTGCGGGTCTGTGCTCTCCCCAGGCCCGGACCCAAGCGCCCGTTCCTGCGCAGCCGGAGGCCGCCGCCGCGCGCAGCCAAGCCCCAGCCCAAGGGGGTGCTGCTGAGGTTCAACTTCCGCGCCATGGCCAACCAGGTAGAGGATGGTGGACGGCACAGGCAGCACCCCGCACCCTGCAGCAGCCCTGCCGCTAACCTGGTCACGCCACGCTCAGGTCTCTGGGGCTGCCGGTCGGGTTTGTGTAGCATGACCTGGGAGCAGAGGCCCGTGTTGGCTGGGTTGCTCACTGAACTGAAGGCATCTGAGAAGACTGTTCAGCGGCTACAGACTCAGCCCAGTTTTCCCCACTCCGTTGTCCCCTCTTGGCCTGTCCATGTGCTTGCTTGGAGCGGGGAGATCCTGCTTGTGAGTGGTCCTGGACGGCAGGGACTGTTCCACTGTCAGTGCTCCCAGCTCCTCAGAGACACACAGCACTTGTGGGCTTTGCTCTCTCTTTGCTTTGGTGACCTTCTCAGTGCCAGTTTTGTGGTGAAGTATGGTCCAAGAGCCCTGGGGCAGGTCAGAGATCCTGCTCCAGCTTCTTCACTGCTTGTTTGGACGTTCCTTGTCTGGATGGTTTGGTTTTACTTGGTGCCTGGTGCTCAAATGCAACGTGCTTGCTCCTGTTGTTGCCGAGGATGGCCGGTATCGTGGAGCTAGGTGCTGCTTGAAGCTGTTTTCCAGCTGCACCCAGTCTGTCAAGCTCCTTGTCTCCGTGTGCTGAGTGGTTTAATTGACTAACTGGCTGCGAAGCACCGTCCTGACTGATGGGCTCTAATCAATACCCTGCTGCAGGTTTGGCCATGCTTTGCCACGAGGCGCAGGACTGACTCGGTCTCCCTTTCCCCTGCAGACCAGCCTGACGCTGGATGAGAGGTTCTCTGGTCTGAGGAATAAGAGGCGCTTTACAGCAGCCAGGAGCGCCAGCCGGACAGTCACCATGCCCTAGCGCCGCTCCTCAGGGACTGCCCTCACAGTCCAGGCCCCGGAACGGGCAGCTCAATAAAGCTCAATAGATTTATTTCCTCCAAGATAGCTACTTTGGCAACGCGCTGTCTCCTTCCTTACACGCAGGGTGAATGAGCGAGTGAGGGCAGGTACGGGGCAGGATGAGAGCTGGGGCCGGAGCACAGGAGCAGGGTGATGCATGGGGACGAGTGGAGGTCAATTTGTTCTGCTGCGGATCCACAGGGCTGGCACCAGCCCTGTCAGCCTGTGCTGCCCTGCAAGAGGGAGCGAGGACCAGCTCCAAGCCATACCCATGGAGCCTTCCCTGCATTGTTCCATGGGTGGGAAGGGTTGAGGACGCGGCCTGCCTATGCTGGGCTCAGAGCAGGCAGCAGAACCCATGCTGCAGCAGTGGCACTGGTGGGATGCTCAGCTGCTGCATTTTCCAGCATCCACCTCCTTGCCCAGTTTGTTCTCTGTGCTGGAGGTGTGCTGTGTCCATCCTGAACGCATCCCGCTCTGCCCTGACAGTCAGGCCTGAGCGCCTTGTGTTTCTCTTTGGTTTGCTGTGCTGTTGTGACCCCTGCTGCTCCCCGGTTGCAGGGATGGGGTGGACATGTGGTGCTGCCAGGGGGACTGTCCTTGGCATGGAGCACACACAGGCTGCCCCGGCCCCAGTCAGGTTTTTCATAGCTGTGCATTAGGGATGTGGTAGGTGCAGCTCCGCCCGTGCTCAGAGCACCAGCACAATCAAACCAGCAGCTGCAGGAGGGACCCAGGGCTGCCAGCACCCCATAAATGTGGGCTGAGATAACCAAGTCCTGCACCAACCATGAGTCACGGATCCATTCTCCAGCCACTGCTGCAACCCAGCACCAGACACTGGACACAGCCTGGCACTGGGCTCGGAGCTACACTCATTACAGTAAATACTTGATAGGCTGCTTTACATGTTACACCGGGCATCTAACAGGAGACTGGGCTCTGCTGGTTTATAGCAATGTGTGAGATGCTGTTAGTGACAACATGGCCATGTATGAGTCCAATGCACTGAATAAAACACTAACCTGTCCGGTGTCACCTCCAGTTATTTCCCTTCCTCCAACAGGCTTCAGGACCTCGGCGTGGCACCGTGGGTGCAGCACAGCTGCATGGGCTGCATGGGTGCATGTCAGGAGGCAGGGGTTCCTGTCAGTACATGGCAGTGGGATCGAGCATCCTCACTGGAGGGAAGGGGTGGGATCCCCACAGGGGTGCTGAGTTCCCGTGCGGCGGGAGGCAAAACCGGGCTTTGTACAGACGAGAGCCTGCGGGCGGAGGAGCAAACCCAGCGTGCTGAGAAGGAGCGAGCCCGCAGGCACCGAGCACCCCAAGGGGGCAGCAGCCGCCTGCGGGCCGGGCCCCGGGAACGGGCACGGTGCACCCGGGACGCATCCTTACCCCATGGCAGCCAGAGGCACCTCCGGGGTAACACCTCTGGCGCGGTGAGACCCGTGCAGGATCCTGTGGAGCAGCCCGGGGGGGGGCACCGGCTCACGCGTGTGGCCCCGGTCGGGGACTGCACTGAAGCCGCAGTACCGGTGGTTTCTGTCTTCGGTCACTGGTATCATCCTGTTTAACAGCATTAGGTGGGGTTTCTGCCACTATTGTTCCTGCTGTTTGCTTTCTGTCTGTTCCTCTGTGCCTCAAAGGGGGGTATGATGAGTGAATGATGCAATTCGAACCTCATGAAGGTGTCCCTGCCTGTGGCAGGGGCTGGAACTGGATGGGGTTTAAAGGTCCCTTCAGCCCGGACCAGTCTGTGCCTCTGTAAATATTCATTCCTTTGCACAACTGAAGTTTACAACCCCATGTTGTGTCCTGCCTTGTGAGAGCCTCTGCTTGTCCTCTGCCTGGAGCCAGACCCATCCCTCTGGTCACCTTTGTACCTTTTCTAGCTCTGTTCCATCTGTCTGAAGCACCAGGACTGAAGCATTATCTGTTATTATCCATTGAGATGGATTTATAGGGACTCTCTGCTTTGGGTTTTGTTCCTTTTCTAGTAATTCCTAACACTGCAGTTGCTTTCTAACCCAGAATAAGCAATTGGAACAGGAAATGGTGAGGCACATTTATATTGGCTTAATGAAAGCAGCTTCCATAGAACATGTTCTGCAGACGATGCTCTGAGGCCTTCACGCAGCTTCTCGTCCCCAGGCTGAGCAGCCCCAGTGTTCTCAGCCTGTTGCATGTTGGACCATATTTTCTTCCATTGTTTGAACCCATAAGGCTGAGAAACCCACAGGCTCTTGCACACCCATGGCTCCTAGGGAAGACACGGGCCCCTAGGGGTGTTTCAGCGCAGTCCTTCCTCAGGTGAGGCTGTTCACAAGTGGTTTTCCATATCACAGAAGTGTTATCATTACAGAGCTGCAGTGCTGGACACTGGGAGTTGAGCGTCAAAAGATGTTTAGTCTGTTGCTCCAGACACGGGAACTGCAGCTCCGTTCTGGTCCGTACCCAGGCATTTTCTGCATACCAGCATTAGCTGTGGTCAACAAAGAAACCTTGGATGGGTCAACAGTGGAATCCTTCAAGCAAATGCACAGATGAATCCTTGTGCTGGGTCTAGGGCAGAGGAAAGTCTGACTTCGGGATGTGTGCTCACTGCAGGCCCAAGAGGAGGTGTGAAATGCATTGAGCGCTGTCAGACACCTCTTGGCAAGGACGACTTTAGTGTGATGCATTCGTAGCTGGTATTAAATCATGGAATCAACCAGGTTGGAAAAGCCCTTTAAGCTCATCAGGTCCAACCGCTCCCCAGCACTGCCAAGGCCACCACTGAAACTCTGGATGGGGTTATCCATGTTTCAGGGTTGCTTGCAGCAGCCTGGTCTAGTGAAAGGTGTCCCTGCCCATGGCATCTGAGTGTCAGCAAGCACCTAAGACACCCTTATTCTGGGGTCTCCTTGGGCACGGGGTCCCTAGCACAGCTCATGGCTGGGATTCCTGCTAAGCAACCCCAATGGGGAAAAAAGGAGCCTTTTGGGTTTTTATGTGTCTACAACAACCCAGAAACACACCAAGAGCCCCAGGTCTGGTTATGGAGCAGCCCTGGAGTTACAGACAAGCAGGCACCTTATTGGGTGCAGTGGATCCAATAGTGCCATAGAAGCACTTGGATTCATGTTGTTCAGTGTGCCAGGTCACGAGTCTCTGGTGCAAATGAACACCACCGCACTTCTGGAAGGAAAAGGAACTTCTGTGCGCTGCATACAAGATGTTCTGGTATTTATAGCAGCTCCAGCCATGGTCATTAAAATAGACAGTAATTGCAGCACTTGTAAAGCAGGGCGATAGCAGAACAGAGACACAAACAGAATGGGAACATGTACCAATTCCCACGCAGCACCAAGCTTTAATGTGAGGTTTTATCTTGTGGTGCAAGCCCCCGGTCACATCCACGTGTGGTTCTTTTTGCTAGCACACAGGGAAGGTGGTGCAGACCATAGCATGTGTATTTAGAGAAGTTAATTTTATGTCCATTTCAAATTACAAGCTGGTTCTCTGCTGAGATGCTCCCTTCCTAGAGCCAGCCAGGAAAAATGAAATGGCATGGATTGAGGCTGAACAGGCACACTGCAGGGGTAGGCAGGAATCCTCCGGGCAGCCATGTGGAGGCAGGGTCAGGGCAAGAGCTTTTCCTCTCTCTGAACTATCCTGCACAGTCTGTGCTAGAAACGAGCTCTGCACAGACCCTGGTGCACACAGAGACCATTGAATCTCAGCCTGGTTTGTGTTGAAGGGGCCTTAAAGCTCAGCCAGTCCAACCCCTGCCACGGACAGGGACACCTTCCCCTAAAGCCATTCCCCTTGGCCTGTCCCTACATCCCTTGTCCCAAGCCCCTCTCCAGCTTTCCTGCAGCCCCTTCAGGCACTGGAGCTGCTCTCAGGTCTCCCCTTCAGGAGCCTTCTCTTCTCCAGGCTGCCCCAGCCCAGCTCTCTCAGCCTGGCTCCAGAGCAGAGCTGCTCCAGCCCTCGCAGCATCCCCATGGCCTCCTCTGGCCTCGCTCCAGCAGCTCCACGTCCCTCTTGTGCTGCTGCCCCAGAGCTGGATCAGGGCTGCAGGGGAGGTCTCCCCAGAGCACAGCAGAGGGGCAGGATCCCCTCCCTGAGCTGTGCTCACGTGCTGGGGGTGCACCCAGCCAGCAGTGGTGTGGAGCAGTGGATGCAGCTCTGCAGAGGAGCAGGTAAAAGGGGATGTGAAGAACAGATTTTGGGCCAGGCATTTTAATTTCAAACTGGTTTTTGCTCTACATTCCTTTAGGCCCTGCGAAAGCCCTGGTGACTCTGCTTTTCCAGTAGCACTTGTATTTTTTAAAGCCATTAAAATAGGTCTCACCACATGCCCGGATGTGCAGACAATCACAGCTTTGCATGTGTCAGGTTTTCAGGCCTACATCCATTTTCTTTTTACTGTCATTTTAAGCCATATTGAAACAAAAGCGTTTCTGAATCTCAACTGCTCAGTGAATTCTCTGTGGTCCAGCCTTGCTGAGTGGCACCAATCATGGTCACCAAGCTATAGAAACTTTTTTTTTTAAACTCAGCATTCCCAGGAATTGCTGGCTGCTTTTTAAACCACCTGACAAAGTAAAACCCACACAATGCCAGAGAACTGAAAGATCATTCCACATTATTTTGCTCTGTTTGCTTCACTGCATTCACACTGTTGATAAATCTCTGCTCCCCACTCTATAAAGTTACCACGTCCCAGCCCTGTGCATCGTTCACTTGTGGTTTGGTAAGGGATCCACCTCGGGACAGGCTGTGCCCAGCGCTGCCCCTCTTCACGCACCGGGTGGTTCAGCAATTGTGTGCTAAATGTTGTCACAAGACCCGAATTGTGAAGCGCTGAAATCACCTGCAAGTGCGACAGCGCCGGGGCAGCGCAGCGCCCGCCCAGGGCAGCCGGGCTCAGGCACAAGCGTTCTTCTGGCGTGTGCCAAGGAACTCTGTTCTTTCCCAGCAAAAGGGTGTTCTCCATCACCAGCTCCGGCGCTTCCTGCTGTGTGTGCCCTGCTCCACCCGGGGGATGCCCCAGCTCCACAGCGCACTGCGATGCCTGCACTCACACCGTCCCCATGGACACGGCAGCACATTTGAGAAGGTGAATGAGCCTCTGCTCTGCCAGAGCCATTGCTGCCGCCTGTGCTTCCCTTCCCGCACTCCAGTGTGGTTTGCTGGGATTTACCCACCACTGCTGAGCAGGATTTTGGTCCCCATTCACATTTTGTCTATTCTAGGATCTAGAATTTAACGGTAACATTTGGTCAGCTTTGAATCCCTGATTCTAGCTAGGAAATATCTGATGTTCTCTCTTAGAAGCAGACCGCTTATGTCTCATGACTACCCTCTAAACCAGCATGTGTTTTGCCATGCTTATATTGTAAAATTGACTGTGTATCAAAGCCTTTAAGTTCTACAGTGTGTGCCTATAGAAAACTGCCTTTATGTCTCTATCTTTTACAGCTAACCCAGCTTCTCCAGGCACCCTGTGCCAGCGCCTCAGCACCCTCACAGGGAAGAGCTTCTGCCTAAGAGCTCATCTCAGTCTCCCCTCGGGCAGGTTAAAGCCATTCCCCTTGGCCCTTGTCCAAAGCCCCTCTCCAGGTTTCTTGAAGCCCCTTTAGGCACTGGGAGCTGCTCTAAGGCCTCCCCAGAGCCCTCTCATGTCCTAGAAATGATGATCTAACAGCCCTGCTCCTCCTGCCTTGCACCAGCCCAAATCCAATCAGAATCACACACTCCCAATATAATACCCAGACAAAGACATCTCCTGCTTTACTCTGCAGTAAGATGTACCCAAGGGAGTAATTAGACATGGTTTGGACACTAATTGCTTGGCAGTGCTGTTTGCCTCCAGATACCTTGTTACAGCAATTGCGTGAGTCCATTTGCTTCATCTGATCAATGGAATGGAGCTGGGTAGCAGCCAGGTCTGCAGGAGTGGTTTCAGTCCCTGCAGCACCTGGGGCAGAAAATGATGCCCAAGCTGCAGGGCTCTGTGTCGCCTCTGATGTAAAGCAGCT